TTAATTTAATATTAAAGGCTATTTTCAATAGGAACTTAGATCTAGTAAATTGCGAGAGCTTGTTAATCATGTTATTTGTGCAATGTTAATTGTTAATTACTTCGTTTTATCCCGGAATATTAATTATTGGTGAACCTGTGACCCTAGGCTTCCTTATTATTGTATCTTTTCTCCCTAAACTTCTTTTTCGTAGTATAGAACTTATTCCCAAAAATATTGGTTACTTAGATAATTTAGATTATAATAAATAATTAGGAGTAAAAAGACTTGTTTCCCTGTGGAGTTTGACCCTACTTCCCTATCTACTTTAGTTAGAGGACTTAGTTATTTATTTTTGATTAGGAGACACGACTTTACCCTGTCAAAATTTAGCGCCGTTGCCGGGGAAACGGTTTTATTTTTGTTTTTTGATTATTTTTTGTAGTCTAGATTATCCCCTTTTGTCTCATCGTTAGTTCTTTGAGGCAATTCTCATATTTGTCTTTTAGTTCCTTGTTTATGCCCAGGTGTTCGAGATCAGGTTACATCCCATTCGATCCTGAGATCGAGCGCTCTTTTCATAGGCAAAGGAAAATCTATAGACAAATTCTGGCGGGTTCTGAGGAGGACAACAGTCGAAGAGATCCTCCCTCTGATTCTAGTGACACAGATATTCCTTCAGATTCAGAATCAAAGATGACGGCCCAGAAGAAACTCAGTGACTACTCGCAACCGAAGCTCACATATTTCCCGCACCTTACTCCCACTCAGGCACTAGATGGAGTTCAGTTTGAAATCAACCCCCAATTTATCACTGTGATAGAGAGGAAGCAATTCAGTGGAGCTAAGGGTGAAGATCCCAATCTTCACATCGCAGGTTTCTGTCAATATTGTAACACCATTAGACAAGCCGGGGTCACGCAAGACCATATCAAGGAGATTCTTTTTCCTTTTTCATTATGTGGCAAAGCTAAATTATGGTTTAATGTTTTGAATAGGACTGCACTTGGTATTACTGACCGGGAAACTCTTGCTTTGAATTTCTATAATAAATACTATCCTGCAGAGAGAATAGCGGTGCTAAGGAGTGCTGTTCAAAACTTCGCTCAAGAGGTTGACGAAACGTTATATGAGGCTTGGGAGAGGTTCAAGGATCTACAGAGAGAGTGCCCCCACCACAATCTAGCACAATGGAAATTGATCCAAGCATTCTATAATGGACTTGGAAATTCTTCTAGATCAGTGCTAGATTCTGCAGCTAGTATGAGGTTCATGAATTTAAATGTGGACGATGCAGGACAAGTTATCGAAGACATGGAAATACACAATTCCCAATATGGGAATCCAATAGGGTTTGAAAATAAAGGAAAACATAATGTCGATTCCGTATCCTTTTTGCAAGCTCAATTAACGTCTATTTGTCAAAAATTAGATAATCTTACTGTTGCTCCTAACTCTGTAGCTAATGTTTCTGCTGTTGCTAACAATGAAGCTTTTTGTGAATTTTGGAATTGTAGGTCATTGGGAGCAAGATTGTAGGAGCTCTATGGAACAAGTTAATGCCTTTCAAACCTATAGGCAGAATAACCCCTATTCCAATTCTTACAATGCCGGTTATAAAAATCATCCATATCTTTCATACCGGAGCACCAATGTACAAAACCCTCCACCTCCACAGCAACCACAATAGCAAACCCCACCACAGCAAAAATATTATCATCCTAATTCCGGCCAGAAAAGCCAAGCATCACCCTCATCATCTTCCGACCCTGCCATGACAGAAATTAGAGCAATGCTTACCAATATGCAAAAGCATATGGAGAGTAGGGATGCGCAAATTGATTCTATCCTAGCCCATAATAAAATCATGGACAATCAAATTGCACAACTTTCATCTACTCTACAATCCCGTCAGCAGGGAGCTCTACCATCACAACCTATCCATCCTACAGATCATGCCAATGGAATCACTCTAAGGAGTGGTTCACATTATGATGGACCTCCTATGCCAAAGGAAGATAGACCAGTTCCTGATATAGATTCCTCTATACCAAACGCTAATCCTGCTAGCCCTGCAGGGCTGCAAATAGATACTAACCCTACTAATGTTTCTGTGCAGGGTAAATCGCAGGATAAGGGAGGAGATGTGCAGAGCCCAATTATCAAGCTTCCATTCCCTAATAGACATCTGAAGAGTAAGCTTGATAAACAATTCGGTAAGTTTTTAGAGGTTGTGAAAAACCTGCAGGTAACAGTTACTTTTACTAACTTAATCACTCAAGTTCCTGCTTATGATAAATTTATGAAAGACATTCTGACTAGGAAAAGGGCCTTTAATGAAGTAGAAACTGTAGCTTTCACAGAGGAGTGTAGCTCTTTATTGCAAAACAAATCCCCTCCTAAATTAAAGGACCCCGGTAGTTTTTCTATCCCTTGTCATATAGGGAATGTTTTTATTGATAAATCTTTGTGTGATTTGGGTGCTAGCGTCAGTGTCATGCCATCGTCTGTCTGTGCTAAACTTAATATGGGAGAATTAAAAGTTACTAATATAACTTTGCAAATGGCAGATCGTTCGGTAAAATACCCCTTAGGTATTTTAGAGGACGTCCCTGTCAGAGTTGGTAAATTTTTTATTCATGTTGATTTTGTTGTTTTAGACATGGAAGAGGATACACAATACCCATTATATTAGGTAGGCCTTTTCTCCATACTGCAGGAGCGATTATTGATGTTAAAAATGGTAAACTAACCCTTTCTGTAGGTGACGACAATGTTACTTTTAATTTAGGGAAGGTTTTGAAAGGGCCTATGCTAGAGGAAAATTGTTGCTATATTGTTGTAATTGATATAATGGATGATATTTGTGATGATAGCTTGCCACAGGTTCTTGCGAAGGATCCCCTAGAGGAAGTTTTCCGCGGGAATTTATCTATAGACAATGCAAGCGTTTGGGGTAATGAGGTACAAGATATTGAAAAGGCTCTTCTCTTAAAGAGTTAAGCCCCAAGGAAACAATGAAGGTAGTAAATTTAGTTCAGGAATCAAAAGCTGCAGAGGTCAAGAAACCTGAGCTAAAACCTCTCCCTTCTCATTTAAAATATATTTTTCTTGATGAACAGGAACTACACCCCGTGATCATCAATACTGCACTTACTGACCTACAAACTTCCCAATTTCTAGGGGTTCTCAAAACCCATAAGAAAGTTATTGGGTACAGTATTAATGATCTCAAGGGTATTAGTCCTGATTTTTGTATGCACAGGATACATCTAGAGGACAATTACAAGCCCTGCATTCAACCCCAATGAAGATTAAATCCCAACATGCAGGAAGTAGTCAAGAAGGAGGTTATGAAATTACTTGATGCAGGTATTATCTATCCTATTTCTGACTCCAAATGGGTAAGTCTTGTTCAGGTAGTGCCGAAGAAAGGTGATAACAAATGAAAAAAATGAACTAATTCCCACTAGAACTGTAACAGGGTGGCGTATGTGCATAAATTATCGTAGATTAAATATCGCCACTAAAAAGGACCACTTCCCTCTTCCTTTTATAGATCAAATGCTTGAGAGGTTAGCCAATCATAAATTCTTTTGCTATTTGGATGGGTATTCGGGATTTTTCCAAATTCCGATTCACCTTGAAGATCATGAAAAGACTACTTTTACATGCCCTTATGGCACTTTTGCATATCGTAGAATGCCCTTTGGTTTATGTAATGCACTCGCTACCTTTCGACGTTGTATGATGAGCATTTTTTCTGATTTCATAGAGTCTATTATGGAGGTCTTTATGGATGATTTTAGCGTATATGGTTCTTCATTTGATTCATGCTTAATTAATCTCGCTAAAATTTTGAAAAGATGTGAAGAGTGAAACTTAGATCTTAATTGGGAAAAATGTCACTTCATGGTGATAGAGGGAGTAGTCCTAGGTCACCTTGTATTTGATAAGGGCATACAAGTAGACAAAGCTAAGATATCAGTGATTGAGCAATTACCTCCCCTAGTTAATGTTAAGGGAGTTAGAAGTTTCTTGGGTCATGCGGGGTTTTATCGCCGTTTTATCAAAGATTTTTCTAAAATTGCTAAATCACTTACTCGTATTTTGCTCAAGGATGCTCCTTTTATTTTTACTGACGAGTGTCTTGAGGCTTTCAACAGGATTAAGCAGGCTTTGATATCGGCACCCATCATATGTGCTCCCGATTGGAACCTTCCTTTTGAAATCATGTGTGACGCAAGTGACTTTGCGCTAAGAGTCGTGCTCGGAAAGAGGAAGAACAAGGTTTTGCATGCTATTTATTATGCAAGAAAAACCTTGGATGAAGCTCAAGTCAACTATGCCACTACGGAAAAGGAGTTTCTTGCTGTTATTTATTCTTTAGAAAAATTTAGATCATATCTTGTTGGTTCTAAAGTTATTGTTTTTACTGACCATGCAGCATTGAAGTACTTGATAGCCAAGGAGGAATCAAAGCCAAGGCTACTCCGATGGGTTCTTTTGCTCCAAGACTTCAACATTGAAATAAAAGATAAAAAGGGAGCAGAGAATGTAGTGGCAGATCACTTGTCACGAATCAGGTATGATGAGGGTAAGGATTCTCTTCCTATAGATGTTTCATTCCCTGATGACAACCTGTATGCAGTTGTAGAGCAACACCCTTGGTATGCGGACTTTGATAATTATTTAGTGGGTGGTACTCTACCTCCTGACTTGTCCTACCAACAGAAAAGGAAATTCCTTTTTGATGTTAAACATTATTTTTGGGATGATCCTTTTTTGTTTCATGAGTGTGTAGATGTATTATTTCGCAGGTGTGTTCCGAATGGGAAGTTCATGGCGTTCTTACCGCTTGGCATACCTCACCTTATGGAGGACATCACGACCCCACTAAAACAGTGGCTAAGATTAATGAGTCAGGCTTCTGTTGGCCTGCTATGTTTAAAGATGCTAACACTTTTGTGCAGGCTTGTGACTCTTGCCAGAGGACTGGCAACATTTCGCGGAGGCATGAGATGCCCCAAACCGAGATTCTTGAAGTAGAAATATTTGATGTTTGGGGTATTGATTATATGGGGTCGTTCCCATCTTCCAATGGGAATTGCTACATACTCGTAGCCGTCGATTATGTGTCTAAGTGGGTCGAGGCCTTAGCTTCACCAACAAACGATGCCAAGATAGTCATCAAGCTCTTCAAGAAGACCATATTTCCGAGGTTTGGTGTTCTACGGGCTATTGTTAGTGATGGAGGTAATCACTTCCATGAAAGACAATTGGATTACCTACTTAAGAAGTATGGTGTATATCACAGAACCGGGCTTAGTTACCACCCTCAAACTAGTGGTCAAGTTGAGGTCTCTAATAGGGAAATCAAGGCGATCCTAGAAAAGGTAGTAGCCAAGTCAAGGAAAGATTTGAGTATGAAGCTTGATGACACACTTTGGGCATACCGAACATCATTCAAGACACCAATTGGTACTTCGCCTTATAGATTAGTCTATGGTAAGGCGTGTCATCTTCCCGTGGAGTTGGAGTACAAAGCTTTTTGGGCAATCAAGGAGCTTAACATGGACTCTAAGGTCGCGGGTAAGAGAAGACTCCTCCAACTCAATGAGTTAGATGAGTTTAGATTTTCGGCATATGATAGTGCGTGAATCTACAAGGAGAAGACCAAGAAGTGGCATGACAAGAGGATCTTACCAAGAGAGTTTGCACCGGGTGATAAGGTTCTTCTCTTCAATTCTAGATTAAATATTTTCCCAGGAAAGCTGAAGTCTAGGTGGTCCGGTCCCTTCACTGTCACAAGGGTGAACAAATTTGGCTCGGTAGAGTTGGTCAATGATAAGGGTGAAGAGTTTAAGGTAAATGGCCAACGATTGAAAGTGTATCATGAGGATACTACTAGTAAAGATGTGGAGGAAACCTTCCTAACTCCACTTCTAACCTTAGCATCAAGGTGGTCAGAGGGTCGTGTGGGACCTAGATAAACCAGCGCTTTGCGTGAGGCAACCCGTATTTCTTGCTTTCTAGACTAGTTTTCCTTTTTCTTTATTTTTTATTTTTATTTTAGAGAGACGAGGAGAGTGAAATTTTACCATTTATAAGTGTTTTGTACAGGTATAGGTTTGAGAGGTAAAGAGACTTAGAAAAATCTGAAGACGAAAAGAAATCGAAGAAAAGCTAAGGAAATCCGACTGGGCACGGGCCCGATCGGGCGAGCAAGCAAGGATAATTGTCAGCTCTAAATTCGCCCGACCGGGCGAGGCTGCCTGATCGGGCGCGCAAGTGAAGTTAGAAATTCGAGCTTATCTCGCCCGATCGGGCGAGATTGCCTGATCGGGCGCAAATCGAGTGAAGGAAAATAAATGTCGGGCGAGTTAAAGGGAAAAATTTTTGTTCATATTCGCGCCCGATCGGGCGCGCAACCAGGCTTCTGGAATTCAGCATAATTCGCCCGATCGGGCGCGCCTTATTTTGGTCGTCCTCTATATTCTTTCCCCTTCTTTCTTTCCTCACTTTCATCTTCTTTCATCTTCTTCACCACTACTTTCTCTCTCTAAAACCTCCATTTTTACACCTTCAAACTCCCTTATTTTCATGATCTTCTCAAATTCTTCCATCAAAACTCAAATATTTTTGCATATTCTTGATCCTTTCATCTTTCTCTACAATCTACACCTAATTTCTACCACTTTCTCTCAATTTTCTCAAACCCTAAGAGAGAGAAAGTCTCCAATTCCTACCTTTTCTCATCACAAATGGCTCTCAAGAGATCAAGGACTGTAAGGGGGGAAAGCTCAAGGCAACAAGAGGCTAGAATTGACCCGAAATTGCAAGTTCCGGGATGGGAGAGGGTGGTCATCACCACCCAAGAGCAAAAGGAAAGGATGATCAATCTCACGTCGAGGCAGGTAATTCCTACGTGTTTTGTTCATCACCCCACCCTTATTAAATTAGGAATTGATAAACCCGTAGAAAAGTTGTTTAAGGGAATTGGCATGAGTGGTTTGTTTAACATGCATTATGATACTTATGATTACTTAACCTTGGAATTCATTTCTAGTTTTAATGTCATAAAATCTAATGCTTTAATTTCTCATGTTCAATTTAGATTACTTAATAATGATGTTAGATTGTCTTTGAAAGAATTTGGAAAAACTTTTGAGTTAAAATCGGATAGGGCAATTGAACCTCCTCAAGATAACATTGTCGTTGTCTATCAATCCCTTACGGGGGATGCTAATTTGAACCTTCAACATGCCAAGGGCACTTGGATACAAAATCCCGTGCCAAAGTTTTGGCAACGGTTTGTTGGCCTTACCATCTTTAGAAGGCATGAACCCGCCAATGTTAGGCGGGATGATCTAGAATTGTTAGGGTCATATATGACACCTAGGAGTGATAAGCTCAACATAGTCCACAAGATGGCCAACCACTTACAAAGGGTGGCCAATGCGGCCGAGGCGGGTAGGTCTAGGGTAACCATTTATTTTGGTGTCCTAGTAACTCACATAGCGGTCAAACACCTTAACCTTGTCCCTAACAACAACGATAAGGTAGCCGGCCCAACTATTATGGACCTACCCTATTTAGGTGGCCTTAATTGGATTAATGTCATGGAAGGTGAGACTTGGTGGGTGATTCAAAGGGAATCGGGTAGAAGGGACAATGCTTTTACTTTACCCAACTCCACCTTGACAAAAGTTGAGAAGGAGAAGCCTTCTTATACTTTCGAGACTAACAGTCAAGGTGAGGTTCAACCACCTCACCCTTCACCACAACCTCACCAATATCCCATAGACCACTCACCTCATCACCATTCACCACACTACCCACCACCTCCACCCTTTACATATGACATTCCCACTTCCTCAACCAACTACAACATAGACCCCAACGCCCCTTATGACTTTTCGTCTTTTAGGAGCCAATTGGATAGGATTGAGATGGGGCAAGGGAGAGTTGAGGGTATGGTTAGGGACTTGGACACTAGAATTGGGTCTCTAGATAGACGGGTGGGGTATGTGGAGAGGAACCTCGGGATGGGTTTGTACCCCATGTATGATGATTATGCCCGTCGGGGGCTATTCCCCCCGATTCACTTGTTCCCGATTGGTTCCAATATCCGCAAGGTGGATATACGGACCCAAGTGCCTACGGTACCTATGTAGACTACTCATCGGTCTATGGTTATGGGACCGATGTACCTTTTGGTGGGCTTGGGGGGAGTGTGGACCCTAACTACTTTGCAAGTGGTTCGGGTTATGGTGGTGGTGGTTCGGGCCATGGAGAAGTCGGTTCTAGCCACGGAGGGGGCTATTCGAGGATGGATGAGGATGAGGAGTAGGCTACACTCCCAAGTCAATGAGGTCATTGCTTGATTTGGCTTGGGGGGTGATCTTTCGCTTGGTAATTCTCTTCCTTTTTTTTATTTGCTTTCTAGTATAGTTTTTATTGCTTTCCTTGTGTAGGTTTTATTGCTTTCTTATATATGAAAAATACAAAAAAATTGAAAAATAAAAAAATACAAAAATATGTTCCAATGAATTGTAAATCATGCTTCCCTGTGCCCCTTACTTGAGAAAATTTGTTTTGGTTCTTGGTTATTGATAATGAGCATTGTGGATTTGTTGGTCATGATTTGAAGTTTAATTGTTTGGATTCCTTAACATGCGTCAATTTTGTCCAACTACTTGTGAATATAGTGCTTGACTAGTTGATTTGGTTACGAAATGTGTGATAGTTCCATAATTCCTGGTATGTCAATGAAATTTAGTATTGATTTGCAACTATGAGTAGTGTTTCATGACTTATTATTATGCACATGAGGAGGACGAAGGCGTTCATTCTTGTAGGTAGCCTTCAGAGTATTTAGATACATTTGTTCCCTTCTTGTTACCCATGTTGTTGCTTGTGCCCTTTTATTGTTTATTTAGCCACATTACAAGCCTATATGAGCCCCATTGGTTACTAGTCCCAAGCTTGGCTTGGGGGAGCTATTAGTTGGTGAGGTGAGGGAGTTTTGGTGTGCACATTATTTGCATAATGTGGGAATAAAAGAAGAGTGTTTGTTCTTTGATTTTTGATTGGAAAATATTGATATGTTGTGTTTCAAAGTTAAAATTTCCAATATGAGTTAAAAAGAAAAAAAAAGAGCAAAAAAAAAAAAATTAATGCTCAAGTGTTCTATTTGAAGGTTGTTCAAGAAAAGAAAAAAAAAATCAAGTTTGAAAAGAAAAAAAAGAATGAGTTCTAAGTTTGTTTTTCACTCAAGTTCTACATTATCATATTTTTATGAGTGAATTTTGTAAGTGTTTGGATTTTTTATGATGATTGGAGTTGTATTTGGTGGTTTTTGTTGGATTTAGTTATGTTGTTGGAGATGTATGATCATCATTTATTTTTTATCATGGGTTTATTAGGATTTGGCTCCCTTAATGCATAGCTTTTCTCTCACATACTCCCAAATTTATCCTACCATTTACCCTAGCCTTACATTACAAGCTTTAAAGACCTTCCGACCTTGTGCATATAAGTTATGTAAATGTGAAAGTGTTGTTTATCAATGCAAGTTATGACTTGACATATTTCGAGTCGACTAGTAGGTTGAGCGTTCATTGTTTTAAACACACGAGAGTGTGAGATGGGTGGGCATTGTTCACAATTAAAGGGGTTGGTTGGAGAGCGATCGAGTACATCTTTTACTCGCCACATAAATGAGAGTTGAGTGTGTGACCACTAGTCTTGAATTCTATATGCTCTTGTGGTTTGCTCTATTTGACAATTGTTAGGGAGGAAGGGTGATTAGATGAATAAGATTGATTGATGTTGAAGCATGTTCATTAGATTTGCCTTGAATCGTTCGTGCTTGATTTGATTATTGGGGTGAAGTATGTTTTATATGTTCATTGATGAGCTCTTTGCTTAGGGAGAAGCAATGGTTTGGCTTGGGGAAGTTTGATATGTCCATTTTATATAGTAATTTACCCCCGTCCCTTGGTCATAATTAGTAGTGTTTTTGGCTCTTTCGAGCCACTTTTATTACTAATTTGTGTTTTCTAGTGTTTTCGTAGTTTTAGTTGTATTTTACAAGAAATTGCACTTTTGGAGCATTTTTCCGGGCTTTATGGATCAACTACAGAAGCTAGAAGGACACAACCACTTTTGAATCCCAGGATCGGTGAGAGCCGATGATTAAGGGCTCGGTATGAGACACTGAGGTTATTGGATCGTTTAGTCAAGACCCGATGAGGAAACTTAGATTAAGCAAAGGAATTGAGCCCAATCAACATCCGAGCCTCGAAGAAGAAGATCGGGCCCGATCGGGCAAGCTTGCGCCCGATCGGGGGGCGCGCATAAGAGAGCACCAGCAAGAAGGCGCACCCGATTGGGTGAGCGTTAGCTCGATCGGGCCCGGCTGCCCCGATGGATCGTGAAGAAAAAGGCAGGCCCGAACGGGCGGCCCTTCGCCCAACCGGGCGAGTGTTTTATGGGACCTGATTAGTTAGTTTTAATTTTGTTTTAGGGAATGTTTAAGTACGAGATTTGTACGTAATTTTTGATTACCTTCTTTTATAGACTTTCTCTCACTACTTAGGATATTTCTCTCTCTTAAATTCTCTCTCAGCTTTTGTTCTTAATTACTTCCATTAATCCAGTTTTCTTTTGGTAACAATTTCTTCTCTTTTAATTTCAGCTATTTTACTTACTTCTTTGATTATGTTTTGTTTTATTTATTTGATTAGTTTAGTTATGATTATGTGTGAGTAGTTTCATTCTAGGGTTTGTAGGGATCCATAATTAATATGAAGGGATAATTTGTTATTATTGATTATTGGTATTGCATGATAATTTCTTATTGAAATGTTTTAATTCTTTCCAATTAGATTATGAATCGAGCAGATGTAATTTGATTGTGAATGTTTAGCAATATTGAATGGATGAATCGAGCAGATGTTAATTTAATATTAAAGGCTATTTTCAATAG